GCCTCCTGAGTAGCTGGGATTACAGGCACGCACCACCATGCCCAGCTAATTTTTTTGTATTTTTAGTAGAGACGGGGTTTCACCATGTTGACCAGGATGGTCTCGATCTCTTGACCTCGTGATCCACCCGCCTCGGCCTCCCAAAGTGCTGGGATTACAGGCTTGAGCCACCGCGCCCGGCCCTTTTTTTTTAAATGTTAAATGTTACATTGTTTGCTGTGTAAAAGTTTAACTTCTAATGTTTACATATTGATTAAGGGTCCTATTGTGTATGTTTTGCAATATTGACCGGCTTGTGCAGTGACTTCGGCCTGTGTGCCCTCAACACTATTGAATGACTCCCTGGGAACGCCATGTAGCTTGCAGCTTCTGTGTTTGAAATACCATCAGTAAAAGTCTGATATTGTGGAAAGACACAAACATGCATGGGCCTGGTTAACTCTGACCTTGGAGAGCACATGACAGGGCAGATCTATGCAAACTCAACCCCAATGTCTGAGGAAGCTGAAAGGCTGAAGAAAGAGGCTGACACATCCAGTTTCTCAGAAAGAAACATCTAATAGAGACTTAAAAACAGAAGCCATGTCTGTGTCTTTGGCAGTGGGGAGATAAGATGGTCAATCACTTGCCATTACCCCTCCCAAATAGGGCTTGTATATCATAGGACATCAGTGGTTCAGAAAGAATGTGTACGATAATCAAAGAATGATTACCTCAATGTTGTTCAATCCAAGGACAGGATTTATGCTAAGTACTTGCTTTTAAATAATAAACAATAGATAAACTGAAAATCTTAGAGACGATTTCAGGACACAGGTTAATCAGAAGTCAAACCTGGCAAATTAGCACCCAAGATGGGGTTGCTTTGGCCTCCACGCTACATACAATAATAGGTTTGACAGTTCTAAGTATTGAAAAAGATTGATAGCAATTGAGACTTTTATTACGTGTGGTTGGTTTAGTATAAATATGTTCAGAACTTCAGTAAACTATTGTCAATGTTTACTAAGACAAAATTTATGCCAATTTTACAACTCAGCACTTCCATTCTTAAGAATATTCCCAAGAGAAATGAGTGCATAAGTCCACAAAAGACAAGTACAAGAATGTTCTTAAGATTTTTAACAGTAATATTCTTAAACCAAAAACAAATCATTATTTGAAGAATGAATACATTTTAGTATGTTCATAGAAAATTATTCTGCAATAAAAAGGCACAAATTACTGCCACAGAAACGATACAGATGAAGCTCAAAAATATGTTGATCAAAATAAGCAAAACATCAGAATACTGTATGATTACAATTATATAAAGCTTAAGAATAGGAAAAATTAATAAATATTGATATAAAATAGAGTGAAGACCTAGGATGATGATAGATGGAACATGGAATTGACAGGGAAGTAACTTGGGGAGACCTTTGAGATGCTGGGAAGAGTATAGATCTTAATCTGGATAGTATTGGAAGAAGGTGGGATCGGAGCGTAAATGTTTACAATATACGTATAGATGCAATATGCTTATTTGATATGCTGTTGGCTGCACATACTTATATGTGTATATACTTATGTCTCTGATCTTTTTTTTTTCTTTTTTTTCCATTTATTTATTTTATTGCATTTTAGGTTTTGGGGTACATGTGAATAACATGCAAAATTGTTGCATAGGTACACACGTGGCAGTGTGATTTGCTGCCTTCCTCCCCATCACCTACATCTGGCATCTCTCCCCTTGCTATCTCTCCCCAACTCCCCACCTCCCACCTTCCTTTCCCTATTTCCCCCCAACTGACCCCAGTGTGTAGTGCTCCCCTCCCTGTGTCCATGTGTTCTCATTGTTCAACACCCGCCTATGAGTGAGAACATGCGGTGTTTGATCTTCTGCTCTTCTGTCAGTTTGCTGAGAATGATGGTTTGGGTCATAGTTTAGACTTGAATTCCCTGTATCAAAAAAAAATATCTTTCAGAAATATATAGAGTACCTTCTCCTTTGTCGTGTAAGTCTGACTGATGCTGCAATCCAGACCTCCTGGATGTAATTTTCTTTGTCCTTTATTAGTAATAATCAGGAGAGACATTTCCATATCAGCTGATGGAGTTGAGGATAAAGAGAGATAGAACGTAGATGTGCCTCTCTGACCCCTTCTACCAAAACTTTCCATTGACCTTCAAACCCTGGCTGCATCTGAGAACTGCTGTCAGCAGACGGCGGCACCAGGAGGAGCAGCTGGGGCAACCCAGCCTCACACGTCTACTTCCCTCCATGGTTTATGTTTGCGTTTGTATCACAGTGGGAGGAGCACTGTTATACTTCTGACAGTAATAAGTTGCAACATCTTCAGGCTGCAGGCTGCTGATGGTGAGAGTAAAATCTGTCCCGGATCCACTGCCGCTGAACCGAGATGGGACCCCAGATTGCAAAGTGGATGCCTTATAGATCAGGAGCTTAGGAACTTTCCCTGGTTTCTGCTGATACCAGGCTAACCAGTTGCTAATGCTCTGACTCGCATGACAAGTGATGGTGACTCTGTCTCCCACAGATGCAGACAGAGAGGATGGAGACTGGGTCATCTGGATGTCACATCTGGTATCTGATATTAGAAACATAAAAACACATATCTACATGATGAATAATGTTATAAGAGGAACTTCCTAAAGTGCCAGGCATTAATTACTACATTGGCTGAAAAAAAATTTTGTTGTTTTCTTCCTTACCTGGGAGCCAGAGCAGCAGGAGCCCCAGGAGCTGAGCGGACACCTTCATGTCCATGCTGTGTCCTGACTGAGAGAGACTTCTGCACAGGGTGTCACCAGCCTACTGATAAATCTTCGGGGCAGCAGGTGTTGCTCTGTGGGACATGCAAATCTGCACAGCTGTGAAGATGACTTATCTCAATAACACTGCACAGGCCCAGTGCCTCCCAGGTGTCCAAAGTCTGCAGAGCATGTGTTTCTCCCTGAGGGCTATGGGACAGAATCAGCTTACTGTCCTATGTGTGGAGTGTTCTTTTGCTCTCTTCATGTTTTATGACATGCTCCTTTTGCTAGCTTTCTATTTTTGATAAGGTCTGCTAGGGAAACATATCTGTAGAAACTCAAGAAATTTTAGAAGTTTTCTCCATTTGATACTGGTGAATATTATTAAGGTCAGAGAGACTTCCATTTTGGTCCAATTCCCTGGAGCCCACAGCATTGTAAATTGTCAGTACCACCAACAATGGATGCATTAAAGTATAAGCATGAATGGTAGATAGATGATAGATAGATAGATTAGATAGTTATTAAAAATAAATAAATAATAATAATAAAAACCATAATACTTGAAAATAGTGCCATAACAAGGAAGCGTCCTGTCACTGGCTATCTGGCATAGCTAATCTGCCATTTCCAGATACATAATTGTCATCCTCCATATCTGAATGTTCTTTCCCACCTCTTCCATTTAGGCCACCCAACATGAGAAATTTGCTTCTGAAAATTCTCAGCTATATTCTAGCTCTGTATGCCATTATACAGTCTCATGCTAGAAGTTTCCCTGTGCTCCTTGAATTCTATTTATGCTTTTTATTATTCTTATCCAAGTTATTCCCCTTCAGAAGCTGAGGTGTCCTCTAAACCAAGTGCTTGCCCTCTATCCCTGGGCCTACTCTGTTTCTTATAACTTCACATTTCCAAATCACCAATCTCTTCCAGCTCCTAAGAGAAAGCAGTTCTTAATGATTGGGTTTAGGGCACTTGACCAGAGCAGGTTCAGAAAGAAAACTATGCAACAAAAAGCCAGGGAATTGTATAAGATACTGGGCCCACACAGTACAGAAAGTGCACTCATATTATGGAGTAGAGAGGAAAGCCCACCTGGGTGTTGAAGCCATAGTTAGCAGAGATGAGTATCCCCACATGGGTGTGCAGCATACAAGAACCTTCCTCCCACTTGTGCAGGATGTCACAGCTGGATGAGGATGAGCAGGACAGTCACAGGGGTGGAGGTCACCACTGCTAATGTCAGAGCCCAGGGGGGTGAAAAGGGCACCCATGCAGGAGTTCAAAGTTCATGGTAGACTGGCACAAAATATCAAGGCTAATGAAGGTGTGTGGGGCATAAGAGGAAAGTTCTCTGCAAGAAGACTTTAGGTGACAGGGACTGTAGGAGATTTGTGTCACACAAAGTATTTGATCATTTAAGTAAATGTGATATGAATAGTTACAGCCAAGATTCTCAGCTTAGAAAAAAGTTACAAATACAAAAAGGGAGAAACTGTAAATTTGGATTGTAATTAGAGATATTAGTGTAGATTCACTAATTTTTGTATAGTTTTATATGGATATAGATTGAAACATATGTAGATAGATAGATAGGTAATTTTTCCTAGAAGCAGTTACACACAAGTCTCAATAAACACTGTTAGTGCCCAAATCTTGTTTTATTGAATACCAATCTCTACTAAAATAAATAAATAAATATTGGAAATAACTGGTTTCAGGTTTAGAACAGAGAAAATATAAAATGAGACTGCACTTCTTGTGTCAGAAATTAAGGAAGTGCTCAGAAAATAATAGTGTCGAAGGAAAAGGTGTTAGGAACAAGCTTGAATGGGGCTCCCCTTGGACAAAATAGGAGAATGTTGACTGAAAATAAATAATGGTAGTAACATGTTTGTTTCAGTCTGTGCTGTTATAACAGAATACTTGAAACTGAGTAATTTGTTTTTTAAAGTAGGAATCTATTTCTCACAGTTCTGGAGGTGGGGAAGTCCAATATCAAGGTGCAGGTATCTTGCAAGGGCTTCCTGGCTGCATCTCCATGATGGAAAGGCAAGAAGAGTGAGGAAGGGCAAGAGGGGGGTCAAATTTGTTTTTATGACTAGCCTACTCTCACTATAACAAACTCACTCCCATGGTGATGACATTAAATGTCCATGAGGGCAAAGCCCTAGTGACCTAATTACCCAACATTGCTGCATGGGGAATTAAATTTCTAACACATGAACCTTGGAGAACACATTCAAATCACAGCATTCCATCCCATTACCCGCAGTTTATGTTCTTTTCATATGAAAAATACATTCATTTCATCCCAATACCACCAAAAGTCTCAATTTGGTCCAGCATCAAATCAGAGGTTCAAAGTCCAAAGCCTCATCTAAATCACATATGGGTGAGATTTGAGGCACTGTTTATTCCAGGCAAATTTATTCTAGGTATGAGCCTGTGAATTAACAAGTTACATGCTTCCAAAATGCAATTGGCCCTTCATACTCATGGGTTTCACATCCATAGATTCAACAACCATGGACTGACAATCGAGTATTCAGGAGATGCAGAATCCACAGATGCAGAGGGCATACTTGTTATATTTTGGGGTTCTTCAGAGCTGACTGCAGGACTTGATGTCTATAGATTATGATATTTGTGGAGGACCCTGGAACCAATTCTCCATGGATACTGAGGGACAACTGTACAATGGTGAGGCAGGCATAAGATAAACATTCTCAGTCTAAAAAAAGAGAGATAGATTAAAAAGAAAGGGTTAATTGGTCCCATGTAAGCCAAAAACCCAACAGGAAAAACAACTTTAAGTCTTAAAGGTGGAGAATAATCTTTGCCTTTAAGTTTCACATCCTGGACAATCTGGGGTGGGAGTTGGTTTACCAATGCCTCAGGCAGCCCTACTTCTATGGCTTTACTGGGCTCACTTCAACCAGAATCCTTCATGGGTTGGAGTCTTGAGCCTCCATCTTTCCGAGGCTGGAGTTGCATGCTGGTGGTCCTACATTTCAGTGGTCTCCCAGGCTGCCTCACTTTCATGGCTCTAGTAGACGTTGCCCTAGCAGGGATTTTCTGTGGAGGCTTTCCCCTGTTGTAAGTCTCTGCCTGGGACCCAATATATCCAAGACATCTTTTGAAATCTAGGTGGATGCTGCTATGGTCCCACATCTCTTGCATTCTGAACACCTATAAAATGAGCTCAACATGGATGCTGCCAGGGTTTACACCTTGTACTTTCTGGAGAGGAAGGTGAAACCACACCTGGACACGCTTGAACTATGGCTGGGGCAGCCAGGGTGTGGTGCAATAAAATTCTAGAAGCAGAGTCCCAAGGCAGGACAGCAGAGCAAATGCTGAGGACATATTGGCACATCTTTGAAAACCTTGCTTCCAAGGTTCTAACTTGCCTTTGAAGATTTCTGAAATGACTTCAGCGTCATTTTCTTATTGTCTTAACAGATAGAATCTGGCTTCCTTCTGTCCACATTAATCTCTTTGGCAAACAGTTGCTTGGCCGTGCCCCCGCTATTCTCTCTTGAACGTGCTTCTTTATTCTTTACATGAGCAGGCAGAAAGTTTTCCAAATCTTTCCATTTTGCTTTTCTTTTAAAGGTAAATTATATGTTAAATTATTATTTTTACTCTCATTGTACTGTGACTCACCAAAGAAGCCATGCAGCACGTTGTACACTTTGTTGTTTAGACATTTCTCCTACCAGACATCCTAATTCATCACTCTTAAATTCTGCCTTTTATAAAGCCCTAGGACATGGATATAATTCTGCCAAGTTCTTTGCAATTGCAGAACAAGGATGATCCATCATCCAGTTCCCAATACCATGTTCCTTAGTTCCAGCTGAGACCACTTCAGAATGGCCTTTACCATTCATATTTCTACCAGCATTCTGATCATGACTACTTAATCTCTAAGAAGTTCAAGACTTTCTTTACATTTGTACTCTTCTTCTGAGTCCTGAACAGAATCTCCCTAAATGCTCCATTTGTAGCAATCTAGGTGTTTTTTGGCCTTCTCCTTCAAATTCGTTCAGCCTTTCCAAATTTTTCTGCTTCAAAGCCACTTCCACATTTCCAGGCATTTGTTACAGCAGCAGCCCCAGTTCTCAGAACCAATTTTGTTTAAGGACATATTGTGCTGCAATAGGAGAACACATGGGGCTGGGCCTGGGTGCAGCTCCTCTGGGGCCTAGATTCCTGGAGAGGAGGTGAGGGGGAGGCCCTGGGGAAAGCCAGGTCAGGGAACTCTTTATTCCAGCGAGGGCAGCTGCTACTCCGTGCCTATGCCTGCCTTGCACCATCAATGCCACTTTCTTCTTTTACTCTTTAGCGCTGATTGAGGACATCTTCCTAACCCAGATGCCAGCCTCCCTGTTTTATATCCAGGAGAGGGTTTCCAACTCCTGCCAAGCCACCACTGTTACATAAGAAAAAATATCTTGAATTCAGTTAACTCTTGGACACAGATTTGAACCTCTGTACCTCACATCTCTGCCTTTGTCTAGGGCACCCCTGCCCTGTCAGCAGTAGGGAAAGTAGAACCCAGTACATCAGCCTCAGTGGACTGCAGCCAGAGGACTCTGGGGAGTATTTCTCATGCATGACTACGGGCAGTCAGACCACAGTTATACGGTGTGTGTACAAAAATACTTCCTGTTGCTTTCCCAGATGGTTCAAATTGAAAGGGAACTGGCTAGCAAACAGCGTGCCAGGACTCAGGTTCAGAAAGACGCAGGTTTGGATGAAAATACACATTTTATTGTTTTCTGGGTGAGTGTAGCAGTCACCGTTGCTAGGCTTGGCCTTTCCTGTTCACTGTGCTTCTCATCACTTGACATGGCCATATCTGCCCCTCTCTGCTCTCTCTGTCTGAAGCTGGGGAAGGCAGCTCTGCCTGCACACATGGCAGACTTCAGGGCCTGGAATGATCATCCCCTAGGACATCCCTCAATCAGTGATGACAGGGAAGGTGTATACATACCCCAGCTGTCTCACCTCTCAGGTGGATTTTTTTTTTTTTTTACCTATATAGGCCTTGCGATTTTATAAATTCTTATT